GATAAAGATGTGGTTTTCTATAAAATGGAATACTACTCAGCCATAAAGAATGAGAAACTAGAGTCATTCATAGGAAAATGCATGCATGTTGAGGCCACAGTAGTGAAAAAGTAAGACCCACATGTGTAAATACCAAAGTTTCTCTGGTGTGAAAAACTAAAAGTGTAAATAAGATCCAAATTGTATAACTGACAATGTGAAATAGGAAGAAAAGGGCTAAAGGTGTAGGGGAAGTGGGAGGGGTAGGGGAAAGGAAATAAGGGAAAAGAAAAAATATGAGAAAAGGAAAAAATGGAAACAAAGTCTTTGTAAATAGGTGAGGATGGAGGGGGTGAAGGGAGGGCAGGGGTATGGGGAAAAATGAGAACAAGATTTATCATGTAAAGGTACAAGATCCCAGTGATGAATGTAACTGTACTGTATACTTTAAAGGTACTCAATGACAAAAAAATACTGCCTCAGCCTCCCGAGTACTGGATTACCATGTTCACCTAGGGATGAGGCTCTGCTTTTTGAATCTCCGGGTCTTTCTCTGACCAGCCCAGCTGAAGCTTCCTGGGGCTGACTGAACACCAAGCCTTGGGTGGTGAGGGAGAGTAATGGATTGTGGAGCCTGGGGTACCCCCGGGGGTGTGCAGGGTGTGGGCGAGGAGGCAGGACAGGAGGTTGTTTTGTTGTTGTTGTTGTTGTTTTGGTACGAAGTTGTGGGGGGATGAACTCAGGATCTTGCACTAGTTAGGCAGATGGTAGGCAGGCGTGTGGCAGGCAGCTGGTGGAACCACTGAGCTAAATCCCCGGCCCTAGGTTAGGAGTTTGTTAAAAATGGCCCCAGATGCCTTGGTGCCTTTCTTTTGGTAAGAAATAGAATTACCCTCCTTACACACAGAAAGAGTACTAGAAGGACACAACATAATGTTTCACAGTGGTGGTAACCTTCGTAATTAGAAACGAAACGGAAATAAAGCACAAGCCTCCTTAGTCCTAAAGGAACAGGCTTCTTTCACTTTAGGCCACTAACCTGCTTTAGCCTTAAAATTTTGGGTTTTTTTTTTGGGGGGGTAGCAGTGGGAATTAAACTCAGGGACTCATGCCTGTGGGTTCTATCCCTGAGCTGCACTCCCAGCTCCCTTTTCTTCAAGCCAGTTGCCTGGCTTTTCTCTTTGCATCCCTGGGCCTCATGGTCCCATCTGGCACCCTAGGAGCCCAGGGCCCCTGCCCCCAGCTGTTGAGAAGTGCAGCTCCTCCCTGAGGGCAGGGCCAGCAGAGGAGAGAACAGAACTGTGGGACAGACTTTCTCTGAGGTGATCTCTCTCAGGTCGTCATGGGGACTGAAGAAGAGATGGGGTGTCTCCTACAGTGACGGGGAGCCCTTGTGGTATTTGAGAAATTGAGTCCCATTCCCTCCTCATACAAGTCCAGGTGATGTAACATTTCCCATGGCCCCTGAAAAGCTGGAACTGCTTTTTACAAGTCGCAGGCGCCTCGCTGTCTTAGTGGTCACTGCCGTGTAAGCATGTGTAAAACCATGCGGGCACACAGTAGGCCCATAGTAGGAGGGCGATCTGTCAGTGTGACTTCTTTAACGGATCACTGGGTACCTCCCCAGGGACGGGTACAAAACCCACTCCTACATAATAAAACCTCGTATGTCTTCCCGCACCCTGTAATTTGGATCTCCAGGAATCGCCTTTGTTGTGGGAGACTAACCACAGGCAAAGAAAGCACCTGCTTCTCCGGCCGGTGCTCGCGGAAGGACCCTAGGCTGTTGCGACCCTGGCTGTCTTTCTGAGTCCTATCTTTTCATTTTCTCGTGAGCTAGGGACCTGAAGACGCTCCCTGCGTCCGCAGCCAGGGTCCGCCCCTGCGCTTCCCAGCCGTGGTGACCAGCGTCCCCCAGTGCCCGACACCCCGACCGGGGCCAGCATTCTTCGTCCCCTCAGGCCGGGCGGGGGCCTAGGGTTCCGCCAAGGGCCTCGCCCGTCACCCCCAGGTCCGCCGGAGCAGGAGCCCGAGTGGAGGCCGCGGACGCACGATC